GATTGTTGATGCACGCGAGCCACGCGATATTGAGTTTTAATTCTTTATGAAAGAGTTATGGAAAATTGCTCGAAAATGTATACTCTCCTATACTCTCAATGTTACATGTCCTTTCCCCTATCCGCTGAAACGCTTCATTTTGTTAATTCATCTTCACTTTTTCCCTCGATTTATATCTTGAATCGTTTGGAAAAAGATTTTGTGTGGTTGTCGCTTCAGAGAATTTATTCGGACGTGACGGAGAAAAATTGGAGTATTTTCAATAATTTCTAACATATTATATGTTTAGTGTTTGTAACAAAGTTTTTTACTCTAATACTTATTGAAGTCTTTTTTCTCATCAGTTGCGGAGTTTGTACGATCGATTACCGTAATAATACGTGTATATAGAAAAGTTTAGTACGCGAGGATATGAAACGAAATCCCCTGTTATTGTAAAATAAAGAGAATTATTTTTCAGTAGAGTGAAATACTACAGTGAGCATTGAGTCGGAAAAGTGAGTGCAAAACATATCTGTTTTGACGTTAAACGTTTTCGATAGATATTTTACTTCTGTTAAGGTCAATTTCGACTGCTGCCAGTCTTGCAACTTTGCGTATTTCTCAAAGGACCACCCACTGATGTGAGAATGAAAACGAAACTAATTTATTTATTTTGACTTTATTGAGCCTGGTGGCTCCAATGCAATTCTTTCTTGGGCAAGAATGTTGTGCAAATAACTAAATATTGAACTATGATTGAGTTACTATATGGAACTCTGATTGACTGTTCTTCGAGTTTGACTGTTCGTAACTGTGACCAACTGTTTCTTTGACTGACTGTTCAATCCTCCGAGTCCTTTTCAACGTTCCTTGGATCACTCCCTTTCGAGGGACTCTGAAGAATTGGAAAGTGGGGGATGTGTTAGGGCGAATCCGGAGTGTGTTAGAAATTCCTAAATTTTCCCACAGTCGCGAGTGACATTGTTAATAATTTTCATTCGTGGAAACTTATCTCGTTTTTTACAGATTCCTAGAGCACGTATTTATGACCTGGGGATGTGTGTGGCGTGGAAAAGTTCTGGTCATAGTTCAAATTGGCCTAAATACATGGGGCGCCTGTCTGAAGTTTGAAGTGGCTCTTGCTCAGAATCAAAGTTGTTTGGATGTTCCGACACTTAGCACCTCCATGTCACAAGTGATACGTACCCTTGGTCCTAGCAGCTGTGTAGCGCGAAAGTGAGATATCGTCTGATTTTGTTGTAGTTCATTTAGGATATTCTACAAATTTTGGGAAAAATTATTTAACAGTCGGAAAGGCTGTAACTGGAAGGGAAAGACTATTATTACTGACTTTGTATGAAGTATGTAACGGACATACATTTATAGTTCAATTATTAATATTGTACAAAAAAAAAAAAAAAAAAAAAAAA